CGACAGCAATGGCTTCCAGGAAAGAGTCTTCAGCTCTTGCACGTGGTTTGATGGACACCTAAACAATGCACAGAAGGTTGACCTAACCTTCCAAATGAAGCTCCTCTGTTACAAAAACAGCACCTTCATTCAACATTACAGGAAATGCATCAATGACATGCGCAAGGAATGGGCCAGGAGCAGAACCAAGGAGCTGCTCAAGCTGACGGCAAGCAAGCAAGAAGAGGAGGACTATGACAGTGACCTGGATGCTATGCTGGACCTATTCATGAGCACCCCGGAGGGCCCAAAAGGCCAGTCCTGAGGAGCCCACAGCTCCCCCCTTAAGTAAACCTAGGTAATGAGTACCAAGTGAGTACTCTATAGTACCCACACAATACCCGTACTCACACAGTATCCGTACTCACATGACCTCTAGAAACGTGAGTACTACCCAGTACTCGTACTCACATGACTCTAGAAACGTGAGTACTACCCAGTACCCGTACTCACAGGCTAAAACAGTGTGAGTACCACGCCCTGATTCAGACACAATGGCATGCAGTGCTGGTACGGCTGTACCACATAGTCTACCATACTGTTAACATGTTTTCGATTCGATTCCACCGTGACATCAACACATGTTCATGACTAACTAGACATGAACTCAGGAGTTGGGGATTCGATGCATACCACTCAAGATGGGTAAAATTACCGTTGAGTACTATCCATGAGATAGCTTGGGCACGCATGCCCAGAATAGGAGTACTAGTATAGCAAATTCAGTGCAGAACTCCTCTAAACGGGTCGTAGGCCTCCGAATGAGAGAAGACGGGCCACGCGCCCACGACCATCCGCTTCGATTCAATCATTCTGCTAAGCTGCTAAGCATTCCAAAGGCCAGTAAACTGACATCATCGACTTTTACAAAGTTTTCTTGGTTAGCGGTAGGGTTTGAGCACTCGTCCGATGCACATCGTGAACTGCACCAATGGTATCGGTCCTGTCGAGTGTCAAGTGACGGTCGAGTGCGAGTGATCCTCTCTTCAGAAATATTTGAATGTCTTGCTCCGACTTGGCAAAGCTGAAATTGAAGACTTTTTAGATTACGTAGTCCAACATTAGGGGTCGTCAAAGTAGCTCCTTCTTTGGATTTTTTTATTTTTGACTCTTTGGATTTAGCCAATTAAAAATAAGGAATTTTGACAACCCCCAAAAGGCAAAATTGTACTTTTTGAGCGGAATTCTTTTTTCCTTGATCCTTAGCCCTTGTGTAGGCTAGATCGTGCTTCTAGCATCAGATCTCTGCTCCGCGCTACAAATGCTTCTAGCCTGAGTGGCATCAGCTCCGCTGCTGCCATTCTTCTGCCAATCCATGAACAGTCAAAGCAACAGGAACATGGCAACTGCAGAAGAGGCTCCGCCCCTTGTTGTTGATGCTGGTGAAAGCCAAGCCCCAGGCCCTGCTGCAGCGCCAACACTTGTGTGTAAGGCAAAGAAATGCAAGAAAATAGAAGACTTGGAGCCGTGCTGGAATGAGGCGTGTCAGAACCACATGCACGCAACGTGCAACAAGATGCTACTTGACTTTAATAACATTCCTCCTGAACAGCGTCCAGCAGAAGAAGACCACATTTTCTTTTGTGGCAAACGCTGCTACAACAAATGGTGGAAGCAAGAGCAGAGCAAGTCTGATGGCACTAAAAAACAAAAATATGTTACTTGGGAAGAAGATGGTTCCCAGCAAATTCTCCTGAATTGGATTACTACTGTCGACAACTACAGCAAATACTGTGGATCTACTGAAAATAATGGAACCTCCAAAGCTCAGTATCATCGCATAATTTCTGAATTGATTGTCAAACAAACTAATGGGCAAAGCCAGAAAACCGCCAGGGATGTTGCCAACAAAATCCAGAAGCTGGAAGCTCAATTCAGAAAAGCAAGTGATTGGCTTAATTGTACTGGTGCAGGGCTCGAAACAGGTCCTGGCAATATATCAGTCTATGTTAAAGAAAAGTTGTGCCCTTTCTACTATGAGCTGGAATGTGTTATGGGCGATAGACCTAATGCTCAGCCATTGGCAACCAACGAAGATGACGATATCAACAATGTCGATGATGACGATGATGATGGCAGTACCAGTGTGGCCATTGATAATATTGATGAGGACGATGAAGACGTCGATGATGACGAGATTGAATCGGAACAACCACCAGCAGCAGCAGGAGCAGGTCCTAAGACACCAACTGCAAAGGATAGCGGCAAAAAGAAGCGCCTTTCCAGCTCAGGCAACAAAAAGCCATCCAAAACCAGAAGGGGTGCTGATGATGGCATTCTAGCATCATTGTTGGATGAAGATTCCGATGACGATGAGAAAGAAAATTCATTCAAGTCACTCCGAAAGAGAGAAGTAGAGGCAAAGGAAAAGGAAGCCACTGCTCTGCAGCTTAAAACTCAAAAGGAAGTTCAGTTGCTCGACATGCAGTTGCAACAACAGCAGCAAAAGCATCTCATCGATCTTTTGAAATCACGCAAGGAGTTGGAAGATGTTGGATACACCGAAGCCGAGCTTGATGAAATGCTGGGGCCGTTGCCGGCGAATAGTATTTGATAGATCGATTATCTCATTAGTAGTTAATATATTCTAATTAGTTAATATTGGTATCTTCTAGTGTGCTAAGATAATACAATATCTGAGTTCGACGCGCATCATTGGCTTGATTTAGTTCGGTTGCCGGCTCAGCTCCTAGGTCATCTTCTGCCATTGCAGTGACGGCAACTTCATCATAGCACCAGCCTGCATCAATCTCTTCCTTGACTAACCAGTTGTGAAGAATTACTCCACCTTGGACATATTGAATAATTCCTTTTAGGTCTTTCTTTTTGGCAATCTTCATTCGGATACTTTTAAAGAAAGGAAATCGGCCCTTCAAGATGCCAATGCAATGCTCCGACTTGACCCGTGGCTTAGCCAACAATGTATTAAACTCAGTGGAATTTTGCGACATGGCTTGGCTGGAGAGATTCTTGAACGGTGGTACCATCTGTTGCCCAGGAGTGAATGCCGAATCTCCCAGTAGGTATTCGTTGCTAGCAAAATGCTCATCGGTTTGGTGGTACAACTTGCAGGTTCTCCAAACTCGATTGTCGTGGACAGAACCAGGCCACCCAACATGGTAATATAAAATTCTTCCATGATCATCACAAACTATAAGCATAACGATAGCATAAAATCGCTTTCTAGATAAATAATTCTCCCCATGTAAAAGGGGTCTAGCAGCTAGAGGTAACAATGTACCATCGATCAGTCCCACACAATTTGGGAAGAGCCACTTCTGTTTGATTCGACTGGCGATTGCTTTGCGTTCATCAGGCGTAGGCCAATAATAAGTTTGGCTTTCCAATGAGAGCAATGCCTGTAATGCATTCTTCCGGCATTTGTTGATTGTTCCGGATCCAACTCCAAAGAAAGTGCCCAAATTAATACTGGATGAGCCATTTCCTTCGGTGCCATAGTATTTCAAGAGAACCAGCAGTTGATGGGATGCTGGTTTGGGTTTGGGTCCTCTTGAATCAGAGTTCAGTGGAT